GGGGGGGGAGGAGGGAGAGAGAAAAAAAAAAAAGAAAACCCAAAACCGATGAGGAGGTTTCTCTCTCTTGTCCGTGGCCCTAGTTGAGCTGGCGACAGGCCTCGAAAGTCCACTTGGTGGCCCCGCCGTAGATGTCGATGTTGGCCTCGGCCCACGCGATGACGTTGCCCGCGAGCGCCCTGGTGCTGCAGGTGGCCAGGCTGTACACCTCCCCGGGGCTCAGCTTCCTGTCCCACACGTTGAGGTGGGCCAGCTCCCCCAAGAAGGCTTGCGTGGCGTCGAACCCGCCGCCCAGCGTGTCCTGCCGAGGAGCCACCGTCACAGGGGGCACCCGGCCGGGCCACCCCGGGAGCACCCGGCCTCGTCCATCCCCTTGGGTATACCCAGCAGGGCAGGGACCCCCGCGCCTGCGCCCCCTCCACCCCAGCCCTTACCTGCTCCTGGCCCAGGACCAGAACCCCCTGGGGCTTGATGGGGTGGTAGGGCGCCAGGTTCTCACCGCTGCCGGTCTGCGTGCCGTCCTGGTAGGCTTCCCACACGCCGTCCCGTGTGGTCCAGGTGACGCAGATGTGGTGCCACTTGCCATCGTTGATGACAAAGGGCAGTTTGGCCACCTGCAGGTGGGGGGTCGGGGTGGTGGGCACAGGGCCCCCCCCCCGCCGCGCGCCCTCCCCGCTCCCCAGGGCCGTACCTTGTCGTTGATGAGGATCTCCATGGGGTTGTTGCCCCACTCGATGAGCACCAGCTCGTTAGCCTGCCCGGGCACAGCGTAGGAGAAGGGGGTGCCCATGCCGGGGGAGGCGCTGGACTTTATCCACATGCAGACGCTGAAGGCGTACATCTCGGGCAGGCTCTTCTTCACCTTGGCGTACATGTAGTTGGTGCGCAGCGGGAAGGTGAGCTGGAACCTGTCCGGGGGCCGGTTGTCCTTCTGGCCTGCGGGGGCGGAGGCGCGGTGGGCTCCAGCCAGACCCCCTCTCTGCCCGCTTTGGGAATTCCTCCCCTCCACCCC